CAGCTTAGTGATTGGCTGCCAGTGGTACTCGACGTCCGGTAAGAGCATACATGCTTCAAGCTTTAAATAAGTTCATGTTCACATTTTGGCTGCAATTCGTTTTGAGCTCACCGATGAAAAGTCCTGCCAGTTATCAAGAACGCCATTACATGTAGGAGGGACGGATTTGATGGTTAAGTTTACATCGAACTATGAAAATTTAGAGAAGGGCTTCAATGATGATGTTCAAAGGTGAGAAGAGAAACAACAACGAAAATATTTTACATTAGTTTTGTATATATAAAACTTGGTAAGACTTTTTCACGATTATTACAATCCAATATAGCAGCAAGGTTCAGTCCAGTGAAACATGTCCATTAATTTTTTCACGACCTACTTCTGAGCAGTAGACAATCATACAGGATATTTGAAATCAAGGAATGTAGTGACAAGGTCATTCAATATCAAAATTTGCTGATAAAATATTGTCCTGGTTTATCAAAGTAATATTCCAGTCGGTTCGGCCCGACGCCCCAGGCTGGGTTCGGCGTTTCCTAACCTTTATAGAGACGGTAGCTAAAAGGCCATTGTTAGCACTTAGATCAACATACGGTTATATTCCTTTTTTCTTAGTTTACGAAGAATATCATATTATATCTCAACTCTTTCTTATCGGGCCAATATTGTTTGTAAATTACTAGTTCACTGAAATATTTTGTTGTTTCATAAATCTAGTTTTGCTATTTTTCTTTATCATATGGTATTATATCTCAACTCTTTTTTATCAGGCCAATATTCACTGAAAAATCTCGATGTGTCGTAAGTATCTTTAAGCTGTTTTTCTGTACGAAGAATATGATATCGTATCATATCTCAACTCTTTCTTTTTCAGGCCAATATTGTCAGGAAAAACCTAGGCATTGAAATATCTCGAAAAGAAGCGTCAAAGTAGTAAAGTAGGTTTGAGGTCCAAGTAATACTTGTCTAACTTCATAGATCAGTATTCTTGAATCATATAGATGTTATGAGCTCAAAATGCACGGCTAGAAAAATAGTGGCGCACTGAAGATTTGTCAAGAAAACGAATATAGGAAGCATGCGTTGATAATAGTTTCTGATGGTACTTATTTTTTCAAGCATTTTCAATTCCAGGCAGGAAACGTACATCAGTATCAAGACTTACATTAATTAGCTATATATTTTACACTGAAATTCTTTATCTTCATTTGTTCATTCTATTTCTTTCAATTTCGGTCAAGTATTTTCCTTTAATCTCATTCCTTACCTTTCCATGTTATTTCATTTCGATATTTATTATTTTATTCGATTTTTTAAAATCGTAATTTACATATTTCCTTTCCCTAAAAAATATTATTAAAAATATAGTGCCTCTTGGGGGGGGATCAGTAAAATGATGTTACAACAAAAGTCATCCGACCCCCTCTAAGCGATAAATAATGACGGGTCCTAAAGAAAGGATCATTAGTCGAGTCACCTTGTCTACCTAAGTCACCTAATAGAACCTTTCAAAAATTGTCTAAGATGCGAGGCTAACACGAGGAAAATACAAAAGAAATGGCACACATTCCACTTAGAAAAAACATGGTTTCTTTCTTATGTTTCTGTTAGCATTGCATGCGAGAATTTGAAAAGGCCTTTCTGGGGACGTTTAAGAAATTAGAACATTGTTTTCTTCAATATCTATGTAAATTATTAATTTCGGAAAAGGGTTAAAAGATTTAGATTTTTTCTCGGCAAGCACCCATGTCATACAGTCATACTTTTCGAGTAATCTCTCCATGCTTATCGGTTTCATTGATGTATTAATACAGAGTTCGTAACTTTACATTCTACATAAAAAGCCTAGCAAACCACGTACTTAGACCAACTAAATTATTAAACCTTTACGTGCGCATTGGTTATTGATGGCCGAGTCAGAATACTCAGACTCCACACAACACACCATACGGCGTTTTCCAGAGTCACGACACTGTTATGTTGAGTGGTTAACTTTAGAACGACACTGAACCATCTATAACTGACGACCTACTTCACATTAGCTCAGATAAAGTATGAGATCAAAATGAGTGTCATCTGAGTGGACCTGACTTAGATAGAAGGGATTGCGATATGCCCTGCACTAAAAGTAAAAGTCAAAACGCAGTAATAAATGTAATATCTGTTTCAAGGTATCATATACGATGTATTTATGCGTAGAAATCTTTACTAGGAATATGTGCTCAGTATCACGTATTTTATAAAGTCCCTAGGAATGGGGTAGGGTCCTTTAACAGGTACCCCTAGGCTAAACCAAGACAATCGTGTCCCTACCCAGAGTGCCTACACACCCGGTGCCATCGTTTTGACCTCATTGCTCAACTCATCTTAACACGTGTCATTCCGATCACGGAGAAAAATACGGTTATATTACGGCCACTAATGACAAAATTTACTGAAGAAGCGATCCTCAAACTAGGCGTTTAAAAATAATGCATGTGAAAGCAAATGCAGTTTTCAATGCGGTATTCACTTTCAGGCGGTTTGTAATTGAGAGCCGGCGCTCTCTGTACTCTGTGTTTTACGATAAGTGATTGTTGCATCTCGAGGCGATATTCATAGATCCGATTATCTCCTGAAACATTCTAACGACTTAGCAAATAATTCAGTTCTAAGAGCATTAATAATAATCGGACATGTAATCTGAAGAAGTGAAAATTGGATTTAACGATTACTTTAACTAAGCGAACAAATAATAGGGAATAAACTTCTTTAGCAATAGGCGTAATGATTTTGCATTTCAGACTCTTCAGGATAAGATTTTTTGTTTGAGTTGTATCCCTACTCATGTGTCTTCTCATGCGCAACAATTAAACGGATGATGATGATGATCTGGGAAATGACACGTGGTCTGAATGCCCAAGTAAAAAAGTCTATAAAAAGTGATAAATCGATATGAGCTAGGAAAGGACTTTCATTTTTCCATCATAGTCATGTGTTACGTTGTTGGTGTGTTGTGTTGCTATTCAGTTTTATGAGAACAGAGACAAAATAGAAGAAGGAAAAAAGCAGTATGAGAGAGGGGAAAAAGTGGAAAAATAAGAAATGGAAGAGGAGGGGAGGGAAGAGTGACGAGGAAAAATGCCTCGTGTTAGTCTTTCTTTAATTTTAGGTCAGTTCCTGACAATCATATCTAAACGAGTATAGTTAACTAAGATGTACTATATTCTGTCTAAAACAAGGTGAAGTATTATTCCGTGGGTTTTACTGCAATCTTTAACCCCTCCTCTTAAGGTAGTGAACATTGTGCTTGACATCATTTAAGCAAACATATAAAACGTTTAACCTTTGAATGAGCCTGTCATAACAAGCTGCTTACTTGAGATGAACCTATAACCGAAAAGAAACCAACAAAGCAGGTTTTTTTCGAGCAAATCGCCATTGTTTGAAAAAAAAAATCAATGCGGCGTTCTCCCTTTTCAATGACGTCACTTACAACGTCGAGGATGACGTTTAGTTCTAAAGATAAATCCTGATTTTTTTAAGAACTCCCGAATTTCCACCGAGCTGACATTTTAGTATGATAGGTCAGGTGCTACAGAATATGACTGACATTGAAAGAGCAGACATAAACTGACATCTAAATTCGTGACGTCACTTCCGCTTACGACTAATTTTGGCGCGAAAAAAACTTTTCCCGCCAAACTTTTATTCACGATGAAACCATTATTCGTAAGTCTCATTATGAGTTGATATTTTTCGTGAAAATATATTTATATTAATTATCTAATGGTACTTAATAGTGTTTTAGTATATTTTCAGTGGCAGGGTACACTGATACGAAAGCTTTGCTGACAATATCCGGATTATAGAGCTTATAACTGTGTTTCTTTTTAAGAATTTACTAAAAATAGACATACAAAATTTTGAAATTAACTACAATTTATAGTTGCGTCACCTTCACAGTTTTTTAGTCTATTTATATGACATCTTTAACAATTTGCGCGTTTTTCATAGCCTACTGAGCGGAAACCAAGGGATTTATTGTAATCTTCTTTACTAAAGATAATCAGAACTAAGAGCGTTAAGTTCCTAAAGGTTGTAACCTCTTCAAGGGTGATGTACAATCCTAGCCAACATGTACTTAAGAATGTACAATGTTATAGTAGAGAGAGTATTAGGCTTTGATGTACGTGTTTACTGAGAAGCGACGATTGAGGATGGCTGTATGCATGTAGGAGTGCGGTATATTATACATAGCTTGTCAACGTACATCCCATATCTCAACGATGCCTAATAATCATTCAAAGCACGTTAGTTATGCCTTGCTCTGTAGACTGGAAATCTAATAGTTCACTAACAGACACCTCTTATGATGTTTGGTGAGATAACGACAAAAAAAAAAAAAAAAAGACTAGCGAAATGTTAGAGCTCTAAAAGTCTCGGGTGTCAGATCGATTTGGAGAGATGGATTGATCTGTAGAGTACGAAGAATCGTTTCTGCTTTCATATACAAGTTGGAGTTGAAATTTTTTTTGAAGTGTCAACAAAGGTATCTTGTGTGCCTCAGGCAACGGTTCCCGTCATTGGATGATTATTTTGGTTTGTTATTTCGAGGCTTCGGGATTATAAACAACGGTCAGTTCCAAGGGTGCGACATACTGAATGCGGACGATTGTATGTTATTGATAGTACACTCTAGTACTTGGCATCGAGATAGAGTGAAGTCACTAAACCCGCGAAAAAAAATATCACAACTTTAATAAACCCAAATTCCATCGCTTTCTTTGTGTGTATCTGACTATTATAGGTTGACTAGTATGTTTTATTTCACGGGTTAATTGCCTTCACTCTATAGTTCAAGTAATTCCCTAGACAAGCGAGAGTTTACGCTAAACAAACTTTGTAGTGAAGGCTATCCTTGCTCCTTCTAAACACAAGAAAAGAGATCCTTAACCCTGAAATTCTGCGAAGGAAAAATTGAAAGACTTTTAGGATGATAAAGACTATCTATTTTGTTTCAGGTACACGAGTGAGAAGCTGAACCGATTGAACCCTAGCCAGTTTACAACTCCTGTAACAAGTCAGTTAAATAACGCAAATAGTAAGTACCTAGCTCAAAAAATATATTCAATTAATAGTGAATTTGAAGTGCTGAAAGCCACTGCTCAACTCACTTATTTCTGTTGTTCTCTCGCATTTTTACGCCTATATTTTTGTTTTTGTAAATTATAAATTGAAATATTTGAGGCAGAAGAGGCATTCAACATCAAGTAGCTGCACTTGACATGAGTTTAACTTAGGTTGGCCGCTCTTTGAAATACTGTAAATTTGTTGATCAAGACCACGACTGACATGTTTTTCAGAGGATTGTTAGAGAATTGCTGCAAATTTCTTGCGATAACCGCGGTAAAAAATCCTTTCTCGATTAAGCCAGGTTTTTTGGTAAAAAGGAAGGACTCATTCTCTTAAATATCGGAAGTATTCGAACGTTTTAACCTTGTAAATAGCGCATTTAATTGTAAATCACATTGCCTGTTTTGGTCGTTTTTCGACAGACTGTTCTTTCCACAACGACACATATGGAAAAAATAAAAACATTGTTATCATTAAGTAGGATAATCAAAAATTACCAATAAAGGGCTTAATTGATGCGTCTTTATTTGGGAATAAGATTACTGGTTCAAAACGGATTCTGTAATGACTAGCCAGTAATCCCTTTGAAAATGCTACTAATCGTTAAGGTGGGGAAAGATGAAAGAAAGGAATTGAAAAGTAGCATAATATGATCATTTGGATTTTCGGATTTCGCCTTCGTCGAGATAAGAATCCAATCACTAGTATATTTAGGGTCAAAATAACATTTAACTTGGCCAAAGTAAAAATTTTTTACTATTTACAAAAGAGCAATGACAAGACGAATCGTCGACCAAGTATTCATATACGAACAATAGAGTGCTCACACTAAATCCGTGAAACAAATACTAATTTTTAGCACTAAATAGTGATAATTAAACAATAGAAAACAAAGGATTCTGTATGAAATAGTACTAATTAGTACTATTTAATGTTCACGGTTTTAGTGCGTGCACTCTAATGCTTAGCTTGGAGTATTTAAAAATCGATCAACTGTGATGGTAATTGAAGTAAAACTAATCGATGCAGTTGTGTGGTATTTTAATACCGGTGTAAAAACTAGATCTGGAACAAAGAACAGTGGCGAGTCCCTAAAGAGATAAGTAAAGTTCAGATATCCTTTACGTTTAGCGAAGAATCTCTCTCTCTTATCTTGCTGGCTGTAATTAACATCCTTGAAGCTTAATTTCAATGACTGACAACCGCGTAGTGATTAAAACCACACTGAAATATTTCGCAATTTTGACCAAACCTATTTACTAAACTCGGCTCGTTTCTTTTTCTCACGTTTATACCGTCAAAAATGAAGTTATAGTTCAGGAATATGAGCCAAAACAGACATTTATTTTTCGCGAGCTCGAACACTAAATGTTCTAAATACATCATGGAATCTATTGAATGTGCTATCAAGATTTTATCATCTTATTTGCAGCTATTATTATAAGCATAAAATACTATGATAATAATGGACTGTCTAGGAAGTTGACTTTGAAGGTTATCTGGTACTCTCTTTTCCTTCTTGGGAGTCTGACTGAGGAAATAGCTGCGACTTGATGTCGAAACACAAACTAGCTTTAAACATTTGGACCTTCGTGATCGAGAGTGTAACCCTGAAGCACTCGAACTTTGAAGTAATTTCGTTACTCTTCATGAAGACGTCACTTGAAGAGCAGGAATAGAACAAACTCGAAACTACAAACCAATGCCAAAAAAAGTATCAACCGTGCTGTCAGAAAAATTTTTTTCTTCTCTAAACAGTAAGAGGTCCGACCTTGGAGAAGTATGGTACTAGGAGGACAAGGTTAAACTTTCTGGATATATAGGCAACTGTATAGTAATATTATAGTAATATGATAGTAATAGGGAGAGGAGAGCGAGAAGTCGCGATGAGCTGCTGCTAATCATCTCACGCAAATCAATCTTAATGCTTTGCGCAAATTAACTTCCTATTTAAGATTTCGATTATAGATTTGTTATGGATTCCCTTTAAAACAACGAAGAAAACTATGATAGATATATCTTCAAACCTTCAAATTTGATCGACACTCTGGAACGACCTCTAGGCTGATCAAAGTCAGGGCAAGGCTAACTAAGATCGAATTGGAATTTAGCGTGTTAGGTTTTGCAGAGGGAGGAAATCCGGTGAAAAACCCTCGAATCAAGAGAAACTTAAGAACGTCTACTCACGTGATGCTTAGATATTCGAACCCTAGACTACGAATAGCTGGTGCATAGGAGTCACCACGACTCCATCCCTCTTCCCTGAAACTCCACGCCTATCAGTCTGTCCATGAATCCCACATTATGAAACCTGTTTTCGTTGATTAGATATATATGAGATTTAACAGTGTTGTTCAAGTCGTATCATTTAGTAGCTTACAATTATTATAGTCAATGGATAGTTCAAGATTATTCAAGAAATGCTCAAGTGCAATCTTGGGAATGTCGCCATTTTGATCGTACCGAAATATGGCTACACCTTATTAGTATACTATTGAAACAAATCTATATTATGGCCGTCAGTGTTAAGGTAGTGTAAACATAAACGTCATGTTTACCGAGCTAGGATAACTTTACTGTATGTTTGCTTGGGCCACATTAAGTCATGTTTTCTTTCTTCGAGAGATGGCGCTTAAAGTAATAGCTAAGGTCACGGCCATACCACATACATGTAAACAGGCACCTAGTGTTAAAGTTGAAATATGAAGGGAGGCAGTGAGAAAGAAAACGCGATAAACGATACAAGCATGCAAGGCAGTGTTCCTACCGATTGTGACCCACAAATGTACACAACTTTGATATATTATTGATGGTTTTCAGGGCGGCCATGTTGGAGGAACTTAACAAAAGAATTGTCAATGAATTCTTTTGTTATATCCTCCAACATGGCTGCCGTGTCTTTTGTTATTTAATTCTCTTGGGAATGGTTGAAAACCATCAATTGGGACTTCTGGAAATTTTTTATTTCGCGAAATGAAAGCTAGCACAACATTCAGGATTTTTACCTCGAGTGGGAAAAACTAAAAACGCACCAACCTTTCTGATACATAAAAGGAAGAAATAACAGAACAAAACGATTCGATAATTCACGCTATTTCAGTCAGTTCAAAATCTTAATTATATAGTTCCTAATGGTGTTGCTAGGCTTTCTTTCTTACAATTAACTCTTTAAACAAATTCTTGTTCAATCTTGTCTCGGTTATGGTGAAGGCAAAACTTGCAGGATCAACTTTGCATTGTAATTTATAACTAACTCTAACCTTTATGTTTGTTAACAAGTCTCTTGGGGTTAAAGGCTACCTACAGCAAGCATTCATGTGCCTAAAAACTATCTTAGATATATAGACCAGACTGTTTACTTGACTCTCTTTTTCACTGCACCTTTTTGACCGATAACGTGGACCTTTGGCCAAACAACCGTAAAATAGCTTGTATCTAATTAAGGTGTCTTTTTTATTCCACTGATTGAAGGTTCGTGTAAGTGGTTTTAGGTCTACGCTAGCCTTTATGATCACTCATGTGTCTATGCATGGCCAAAGAATCTTGACTAACAACCTCATGTCTAGATTAAGTTCATACATAAGTTTATATTCCACAGGTCTTATACAGGAAATGACACTCGAATGCGTACAAAATTATTACTATGTAATCAATAAAAAAGCATGTAAGCTCCAGAGTCTTTTCCTATAATATACTTGGGATCATAGAGAGAATGGGGACACGCCTTTACACCCAGGGCCAGAGTCCCCATCTTCTCGGATTATAAACAACTAATAAACCTTCTTCGTAGACCGACATTTCAAAAATCATTTGGTTTTATCATATGGGTTGGTTCAGTAATACATGCAGAAATAATTCTTAGTAGTCCTTGGTTTCTTTCGTTATATCAATCAACATGGCGGCCACTTTGAATTCTATCGTTTTGGGAAAGATTGTAAACTAGTAATAACGAACGTACTGTGCGAAGCAACGAATGACCTTAAAGACGGTGCAACGGAGAAGTAGCTGTTGCCAAAAGTAGAAATTAATTTTATTTTTTGCAACAATTGCTGCAACTTGTCTCACAACATTTTACACGCTGCAATGCTCCATGCAACTTGCGTCGCAATGCCGTTCCAAGACATGTTGCATAGAAAACTGCTCCGTGTAATGGAGCCTTAAAACTAACAACCTTCATAGTTCCGACTCAGACAACAAGCAAGCCAATCACCGTTGCAGCAGTTTTCTCAGTGGAATTAAAATCTTGTCCCACAAACAACTACCTTTTATCTGTACGGTAAGGTATAGTTGGAACCATGACTTCACAGAGAAACTCAAAAAAGTTAAACAGACGCGAATAGAATCAAACAGTGATTACGTGGGGTCAGGGTTTCGTCGTCCATCAGTTTGTGTCTGCAGGGCCGAACGATGAAGGGCAAGAAGGAAAAATAACAAAAGACAACTGCGAGAAATGATTGGTTTCACAGATGCAAATAAGTGCGCCGTTGGTAAACTATATCACTTTAGACATTTTGTTGTACTTAAGGACTGAAATCTTAGAATTTGTTAGAGAAATTTATTTAAAAAGTTAGAAAGATATAAATATCGGTTAGTTGAACTTCTTTGCTACATCTTCTCTCTCTCATTCAATGAATGGATATTTAAGTCCGCGTTGACGCAATATTTACGTTATAAAACTCCGTTTTTACGCAATGAATATGGTTTAGAATACTGTTGTACTGTTGTGCCGCATTCAAGCATTTTAATTGGATGGTGATTTTTGGTTTTGATTGGTTAAGAGCGGAAGCCATTTATTTCCCTTTTTTTAATGTCATGGTCCAAAACGTCTCGTTCAAGAAAGGAGCTGCCCTTACTGAGCCAGTCAACTTCTCACCAACTCAATTTTGTTAAGAGTCATTGCTACGATTTTGTTTTTCTAAATCTTGTTCTGTAAATAATCTCCAAGCCCACCTACACGGTGCGCAAAAT